GCAATTATAGAATTTAATGATACTTTTTACATTAATACTTTGTTTGGAGCGTTTTAGAAGGCTATAATTATGAAAGATTAATAAGTTTTGTTTCCACTTCAATTTGTTATTCCAAATACACATCCAATAAACTGGTAAAATATTGTGGGCATGTGCAATAACATTTGGATGTTGATAGTTATTATCGCTTTAACTTTTATTCTCACTCTCTAAGATATCACAAACTATTTTACTGTCTAACGAAAGTTTTAATTTCTTTTTTATAAAGTCTCTTCCTAAATTGCGTGGGATAGTCACTTTTTAAAGTGGTATTTACTTTTTATCCAACATTTTTAATGCTAAGCAAAAGTAGCCTCTAGTCTATTAAAATTAATATGAAAAGACAGTGTTACCTTTCTTCTATCTCTTTTCTGTCCATGTTCTCTTCCTTGCCAGTGTACCTCCATGGCTTTGACCCCGCATGCACAGTAGTGAACAACTTTCACCTTCTCAAGTTTCACATTCTCTGGGTGACGCCACAACATAGCTAATACCAAGTTGTACTTGTTTGGAATTGGCTTGTATACATCTCTGAAGAATATGTTTAACAAATCCTACAAAATAAATCCAACTCTGTAAACATACAAAAAGTATTAAATATTTATACTGAATTCATAGATAGTCCTGAACTTAGAGTTACAAGTTCAAAAGTTAAGGACATGTAGTCCTGAACTTAGAGTTACAAGTTCAAAAGTTAAGGACATGTAGTCCTAAACTTAGAGTTCCAAGCTCAAAAACTAAGGACAGACAGTCCTTAACTTAGACTTACAAGCTCATAAATTAAGGACAGCTAGTCCTAAACTTACAGTAACAAGCTCATAAGTTAAGGACACTTGGTCCTGAACTTAGAGTTGGAAGTTCAAAATTAAGGACATTTGATCCTTAACTTAGAGTTACAAGCACATAAATTAAGGACAGGTATTCCTTAACTTAGAGTTACAAGCACAGAAATTAAGGACAGATAGTCCTGAACTTCGAGTTCCAAGTTCAAAAATTAAGGACATGTAGTCCTGAACTTAGAGTTACAAGTTCAAAAGTTAAGGACAGGTAGTCCTTAACTTAGACTTACAAGCTCATAAATTAAGGACAACTACTCCTGAACTTACAATAACAAGCTCATAAGTTAAGGACACTTGGTCCTGAACTTAGAGTTGGAAGTTCAAAAATTAAGGACACTTGGTCCTTAATTTGAGCGAAGTTCTCTGCAATCCGCGTAGGTTTCAGCGAATTATAGTAGAAGGGTATTTTCGTTCGGGCGGGTAAAAGTTTATTAAAGCAGTGGTTAAAGACTAAAGACATTTTAAACAGTGACTTAAAAGTAAATACATATCTTATTACTGGCTAACTGTGCACTTCCCGCAAAATCATCTTTAAAAGAAAAAGAAGAAAGATCTTAAAAGCTTGTAGCTCCAACCCCACTAATGATAAATTTGAATATACTATCTTCATTTTAATTTTTAAGAGGCTCTAATCTTTTCAAAGAAGAATTAATTTTGGTATATTGCAACATTGTAACTCTATATTAAAAGAATTCGAGTAGAAAACTCCAATAGAAAAAGAAATGCAAAACAAGTACTCATTAGAACAATATTCTTTTTATTTATTTGCTTTGCCTTATCTTTATCCGCCGCGCGGAGCGGTTTTTTTTATACTAGTAATGCATAATTGTAATACAGAGATTACAATAAGGTATTATTTCTCCTTGGAGATGTATTAAAATTACTATACCATTTACAACTAAAATGTGTGTTTACTCTTTTAAAGAAAATACAAGTTTGCTACTACAAGAGTTTGTTTTGTTTTAATCAAATGTATTACTAAATATATTTTCTCACATTCTTTCACATAAAATAATGCATGAATCACCACATAACTTATGCATATATTATTTATGATGATACAAAATGTAATAACCAAACATTATTCTAATAATGCTGGATATTATGTGAAAATTAAATCTCCTTAGCAGCAAACCAACAGTCATTTGGTTAAGGGTATGTGATAGACAAGAATATTTATCCCATGGGATTAAATATTACACCTTTTATATGGGATAATTAATTCCATCATTTTAATATAACAATAGTTCCTGAGACTAATTAATACGTATAACCAAACTCGTGATAAAATAATCTTGCATCTTATCCCGGCATTGTTATCTCTTATTCCTTAGCCTGCCGATGGAGATATTTTGATAAATCATACTCCTCTAACAGTATGATAATTACATGAATTGAATTTAAATGGATAAGTGGTGATTTATATAGTTGACCCTAACTTATTTGAAACTAAAACGTAGTTGTAATTATTGTTTAAAACTCCTCTGCCACTATTTCTCTGTGGAGCGCATCCGAATTTGCATCTCAAAGTCCTCATGCTAATAAGTCTACAGCAGGGCTAAGGAGCTGCTCTAACAAAGAATTATTCCTCCTTAATTTTTTTTAGACTAATTGAACAAAAGTCATTTAAGTAATAAGTAGTTCTAGATTCTTCAGAGGAAAAAGCAACTGCCCTTAAAATTGAATACAGAAACCGAAAGACTTTTCTTTCTTAGTGTTTCGGTTTAAAAATAGTGCTTTTAAAAAGTCACCATATGCAGGCAGAAATCATACTGTGCTCTCCTTCAGCTCATTTTTCTTTTGATAAGCCCTTTGAAGAAGTTAAAACTGCATCCAATGAATAAAACAATGTTAATTACCACTAATGGTCCAAGCATACATGCTAAGTTTTATCAGAAAACTAACAGCTCGTGACTGCCAAAAATAACCTAGACAAATTAGAACCAAACACAGCAGCCAATGATAGTTCCTTATCAGAAGCCATGAACTCCCAGTAAAACCATTTGCTTCAGAAATAAATGTAATGGAAGAACAGCTCATCCTTTTTCCCATTTGCTCACCTGCAAATTTAAATATCCTAAAAAAAAAAAGGTAGCCCGGTGCACTAAGCTCACGCTATGCGCGGTGTCCGGGAAGGGCCGGACCACAAGGGTCTATTGTACTCAGCCTTACCCTGTATTTCAGCAAGCAGCTGTTTCCACGGCTCGAACCCGTGACCTCCTGGTCACATGGCAACAACTTTACCAGTTACGCCAAGGCTCCCCTTCTAAAATATCCTAATAACGCAAAATAATTTAGCACCTTGTTGAAATGAATGCACATTCATCTTTAGCATGAAGTGACAAAATATTCATTAGAGGGGCTAAGATCTATGGCATTAAATTATTCAAAAGTATTATCTTTCATGAATATTCTGATCTCTCCGCATGGAATTAAAGCCATATTTGGTTTGAATACTAGAGTATACCATCAATTTTTGACATCATACAAACTTTAAGTCAAGTAGGAATCACTGGTTTCCAGCAAACATATTTTACTACTAATAGGTTTGAAATAGAATGCCACTATTCCTTCTTTTAAGTTGGAGTTTGGACACTTTGCTACCCACAACAACAGTTGCAGCTTAACCGCCATCGACCTTAGTCAACAGCCTAAAAAAGAGTATATCTAGTCATCATGTTCCATCTACTTCACAATGATTGCAGTGTGGTAAAATTGCACGACCTAAATCTAGCAATTGAAAAGCGCACTTGTTAACTTCATGAAAATAAAATTACAGAAGCATCCATCTCTTTCCACCCACACCTGCAATCTCAGTCCAGCCTTTGTTCTGTGCGATCTTCTATTGAAGAAGATTATCGTTACCAGTGTCTTAGAAGTAAAAAGAAGCTAAGACAGTAGTTTCTTAGAAATAAACACGACTACCAAAATATTGATTCTGTGATTATCAAGATTCACAAACAGAAGATGAGGGTAGTCTACACGCAGCTTACATACCATCAGAACACAAGCACATTTAGGGGCCCTTTTTTTCAAAGATTAAGATGTTTGATTCTGAATACATATCTAAGAAACATTTTTTTTCCTCAACATTTGAATGTTTATAATTTATTTTTATTAAAAATTTCAAAATATAAAATTCAAATAAAATAATTTAAAATATTGTATCCATAAATTATTAGGTTGTAAGTCAGTAGTTGGTGGTGGGCGGCTGGTGGAATTTGGCAGTAGTGGCTAGTGGCGGTGGTTGTTGTACGATAGAAGTGGTAGCGGTGATGTTGGCAGTGGTAACGTTGGTCGTTGGTGCGATTGTGCAATGGTGGTGGTTGTGATAGTGGAGGTGGTTGGTGGTAGTCGCTGGTGGTGGTGGAAGGTAGTGGTGGTCAGTAATGGAGGTGATGGTGGTGGTTAGCGGTGGTGGCACTTGTGATGGTGGAGGTGGTTGGTGGTAGTGGTTGCGGTAATGGTTGATGGTAGTGGCAGGTATTGGTAGGTACTAGTCGCTGTGGCAATGGTGGTTGGCGATGGTGATAGTTGTGATGGTAGAGGTGATTTGGTGTGGTAGGAGTAGCAGTGGTGGTTGGTGGTAGTGGTGGTGGTTGGCGATTGTGGTGGTGGTTGTGATGGAGGTGGTTGGTGGTAGTGATTGGTGGTGATGCTGGTTGATGGTGGTAGCTGGCAGTCGTGGTGGTGCTGGTTGATGGTCGTTGTGTAGTGGTGGCTGGTGGCTAGTGGTGGTAGTGGACATAGTGGTGGTGAAAAACCTCTTTGCAATTTTTTTTGTGAACCTTTTAATAATATTAAGACATTGTTGAAGATCTGAATGATCCAGATCTATATAAACCCTTTAAACGATTAAATCTTTAAAAAAACAATCAAATGAGGCCTTAAAAGAAGAACTAGCAAATCAGGTTGATATCCACCCAATAATTAAGTATTGGGCAAAGGAACACTAAAATTGGTCCATAGCAACATTTTTTTCTTTGTCCGCATTCAAGATATGATAGGCAAACGTTAACATGTTTAGTTCAAGACAAACCTGTTGCCATCTGGGTGTAGCTCACACATTTGACCATCATCTGTGATTCCTAATAAGTACCCTGAGGATGTCAAACCCTGAAAGTAGAATGATCTGTTTATGTACTAATTACACAGACAAGGCAGTTTACTAGAGCAAGGACAACTAAGATAAAGTATGAAAATATGTGGTCACCAATCAAAACTTCAAAGTGTGCACACTTCATATAATTGACGAGGGTGCATGCTTCGGCTGAGTGACAATACGAAGAATAATAATCAACATTATTACAAGCATAAAGTAAGGAGTTATGCACGTCCCATTATGGAATGGAAGTATAAAATCAAAGATTTAACAGTAAACATAGAGCTCTACAGGTTTCCTACCCTCTTCACAAGAATAAGTGGCAACTATTCATAACCTCTCTTGTATGAGATGCTTTATATCTGTTCAGAAATCTTTCATCCAAATTCATCTTGGCTAACAGTACAGTTTCTTATACTTCTCTCTAACTCAGGACGTTGAACCCAGTTTAACCCATGGATAATGTATCGGGTAACAAAATCAAATTGAGAACTAAAAGGGAAAATATATTAGGTAACTTGTAAATTGCACAACTCCTTAAATTTTCCTAAGCATACACTCTTTCTTAGTGTCTTAGGAGCAAAGTCCACATTTAAACTCCCAACATGAAGCCCAAAAAAAAAAAAGAAACTTTTAGTCCTATTCTGCAATAACACAAAGACAATTGGAGACATATCAGGATTTAGTAAAATCATTAGAAATAAGAAAAACATGAATAGTTAATTTCAATAGAACCCCTTCACACCCAAAACCTTCTCTTTCCCCTTAGCATAAAAGCATGCCATTGTGCCAAAGCAACTTGCTAGCACCCTCGCCGGACCCCTTCTCACGCCGTTCCACACTCCATTGTCACCGGCATTCCCCAAAGTCTCCCAAATACTTCGACGTATCAATAAAGAAGCTTATTTTATTTCCTTCTTTGGAAATAGTATCGTATTACTGAAAGAAGAAATAAAGAGTTGACTAAAGACATATGGGAGTTTCTAGGCAGCTTATACATATACTAAACTCACCCTTTAGGTGAAACTGTCGAATATCATCACATCAACTTTAATTGCCTGAATGTTCATGAAGCTGCTTGATTAAATTGACTTTCCAACTGAATTACTAACTTGATTCAAAAGGTATAGTTCAGCTTCCCTTTTAATCATTTTTAGAAGGCAGATGAAAAAGGGAACAGGACAAACATTCAAGCAACAGGAAAGGAACCCAACAAAGTCACGGTTACAAGAAGGCTTGATTGTCCCATAACCTCCTTCAAGTGTTTTGCTAGAACCAATTCAAAGGGGCTATTAGCTGCACTTAGGCGCTTTATGGAAAATTTCCTTTCTAATTACTCCCTCCATTTCTATTCATGTGGAACAGTTTGATTGGTCACGGAGTTTAAGAAACAAAGAAATACTTTTGAAACTTGTGGTCATAAACATACCATGACATCTTTATGGTTATAAAAGCATCTCATTAGAGTAACATTGAAAATTGAAAGTTTAAAGTTAAATCATTTTCACATATAGAAAGCTTCCATTCTTTTTGGAACAAACTAAAAAGAATGAGGATCGAACCGCTCGTTTGGAAAATTAGGGGGCAATAATGCACTTTAGCCCAACTAAAATAATATAATATAATAAAATGTTAATATAAAGCTAGAGATAAAAGGAAAAATTCTAATGGTTGCTGCTGAACAACAAAAAAGTACCAAGATGAAATTCAATCTTAGTTTGGATTAAAAGCACTAGGCATATCTGCTTATTGTACCAGCTTCAGATTCATTGCAAGGACAGCTCATTCCTCTGAACATGTTCAATTGTATGCAATTAACATTTTCAGATCTTAGATTTATAATTATTGAGCTTTATAATGAATAAACATTATTTTTACTCATTCCCTTGACGTTTAATTGCTTGGTACAATTTTGCAAAAGAAGTTTGTCTTCACATGTGGTTCTCAGCATCCTAAATGTAAGCTTATTAAAATAAAGGAATTGTTAGTAAAGAGAACCTTACGATGGTTTTAGTTATTACCTTAAGCGAGTCTAGCTTTTAAAGAAAATTAAGGACTTATCAAATGCATTAATAAAGACGAGAATTCTATGCGATCATGAATTAGTCACAAATTTAAGTTTTAATCACTATATTTATAACAATAAAACCTACATAACAAATCTTGTAAGTTTACAAGAAAATCGTTGATAACTGTTTTTGACAAGCTTTCATACAATCCTTGAGTCATACAGCTTCAGCAAATCTCGTTTGTCGCTTTTTGTTAATTTAGTTAGGAAAGAATTTAGCATACACCAATTGAGTTAGACCAAAGGTCCTTTTCTCTGGGCAGACCGCTGATCTTTCGTTCGTTTTATCCATTGAACTTAGAAAAGATGATTAATGTGTATATTCATTTATAGTTTTGAACAATTTTAGGAAACTCCTTGTGCTAACCGTTGTTAGAAATCCTTTACCAGTTTCAAGTGCTTAAGTGGCCATTTCAGTCTTCCATTCAGATAATCCTAAGAGAAAGATTGAATGGAAGCCGTTGACATAAGGCCTAGGCTAAAACGCCCAAAAGTTCTGCCAAAAACCACCGCATTGTAACTGCACAGTACTATCAGGTGGATTCCCCTTTCCATGCACCTTAATATGTTATCTGCAAAGCATATACCTGTTGGAGTTTAAATGACATATCGCTGTGAAGAAGCAGCCGTACTAGAATTGAACTCAGATTCAAATAGTTACCATATTCTTAAAAAATAAAAAGAAATAGACAAGGCGTAATACTGAAAATTGAATGGTGCCCAATAAAAGTTTATATCTTAGGATAAGCAACTGAGAGATTCCACTCAAACCAACCTGAATGGTGACTACAGTTTCAACAAATTGGTCCTGATCACCACTTCTCTCCTGCACCATAACCCTTTGTCCACTATATTTATGTGGGAGAGCAGAAGAATATCAGTTAATAACTGACGAGATATTATCTTGTTACACTTGAATTCAGTAAAAAAAATGAAGTAGAATTCACATTAACTTCACAGGTGTAAGGGTTGGCCAGATTTTAAAATAAAGAAGCATTCTAAAGGAAGACGAAGCCAAATTAACAAAATGAACCATGTGGGTATCCAAAAAAGGTTACATGTTTTGTCCACCATAAGTTAGTTTCATGATAACACAAGTAAAGTGTTCTACATCTATATTAAGGAAGAAACGGCACAGACATTTCAAGTGTAAGTGTGTAGCATGTAATCAAACACAAGCAGGGTACCTTTGGGCTTGGTCAGTGGTAAACTTTCCTAGACTCTTAATTTCTGCTAATGAATCAGTATACTGGTATAGGATATGAGCTCCATTCAATTTCCTCTATACCTTTTTTTTTTTTTGGATACGTGAACTTCATTTTAATATTAAAAGAAGGATAACACTTTTACCAGAAGAAAGAAAAGAGAGGAAAAATAAGAGAGATGAAGGCCAGTTGAGGGGACAGAAAATACCATATGACCATTTTAAGAATTTGTAGATAGAACTAGAATATCTGGAGGTCTCCCAAGTATCGCCATCCATCTTTATCTTCAGCTTATTTTGATGTCAATTCTTTCTTACAATAAAGAAGCATATGAAGTGCTCAACTGGCAAAAGTGTCCTAATAGAGCTTTGATCATTTTGACTATTGAGGCTACAACTTTAGCTCCACAGAACAGGATTCTTTCTTCATAGTTACAATTTTTTGGAGGATGATTAGATGAACATTCACCTCATAGGCCCACAAGCTCTTGGTCCATCTTATTCAGGATGAAGCTACGCTCATTTTCTGTCATCTGATGGACAAGAAAGGTTACCTTTGTTGGACCTAGTATTCCATGTGTATCTCCAGCTTCGCCATGGCTATCCTTCAGTATGAATCTACCCTAACCTCCCCCATCTCCAAAGAACCCTGTTACCTAGGATCGGCCATTTATCCAGTACAAGTACATTGAATTTAGCACATATTTAGCGTGTTTTGAAATGCAAGTGAACTACCCAGCCCTAAGTCCATTTAACATTGTTTAAGAGTCTCTTTTATAGTCAGAAGAATGCACAAACTGTAATTGTTATATCACAAAACTTTAGGTTGCTCATCTAGGAATATTCTTTGTCCTACTATCCGACAACGCTAAAAGAATTTTGACTTTCTCCTATTTCCCCCATCAAAAGCACATTCCAGCACAAGAAGATGTCCACATGTAATTAGAAGTAAACAAAGGATCAACTTTACGGGATTCCCATAGCATAAAGTTCTCTGATTTGTAAAGAGTGTTTCAAATTGCAATAGCAGAGCATTACAGATGTTCGAATCTACAGTAATTTTAAAAAGTACTTACCTGTGTAACCAAGTCCTATAATACAATCCTTCAAGAGCTTGAAATCCTGCATGCACACAGCAAAATGCATCACTATTTTCATTATTGTACCAACATATGCAGAAAAGAAGGGGGGGGGGGGGGGGGGNGAACAAGTAGCTCGTTCTCACCTAAAAAACTCCATGATTTTCAGGTAACAGTTCTAAGACCATCACAAAAAACAAAGAATGCAGTTGATAGAAAAGCACAAAACTGAAGTTATGAATTCCCACATTGCATGAGCGTCTAATACACAAAGCCTCGGAATACCACCCTCATAACAAAAAATTTGAAGGATCTCAAATTTGCATGACTAACTAATACCCTTGACAGCAAGCTCAACATTAACCAACCAAATGAAAAACAAATATAGGATTATTCTCTTTAATGAACCTCCCTTTCATCTGCTGAAACTAAGTAACATCTCAATGGGGAAAAACGGATACGCCAAAAATAGACCTGCTAAGAAAATGGCAGAGGCAAGTGGAAAGAAAGTCTAGTATATGATAAATTTTGATATTATCACTGAACTAACACTGAGAACAGGGAGAAGAGAGGCTATAATGGTTTGATATATAAAGTTTTGTGACAAATTCTAAATAAAATTAGCAAATTAAAATCTCATCACCATCACCACAACTATGCTTAATATTATTGAAATCTTCCTAAAAGAACCAGCTTATCTTTGGCACTGCGAAAATATATGAACAGCTCGTAGAGACAAGGACTCCCCACATTCATATTGGAAGTTCGCTAACTTTATTTCATTTTGTAACATCGACACGGCCCACCAAGAAAGAAAGAGCAAGGGGACAAGGGAGGAGAAAGCGTTATCTTCTCACAAACAATTACCTCGTTGTTCCATTTTATGTGACACTCTCTCCTTTTTAGTTTGTTCAGAAAAGAATGATACCTTCCTATATTAAGAAGCAACTTAACTTTAAACTTACCATTTTACCCTTAATCACATGATTTATAGCCACAAAATAGTCATGGAATGTTTAAGATCACAAGTTCCAAAGTCTTATCTTTCTTTCTTAAACTCTACGCCCAATCATACACCTTCACATAAGATTAAACGAAGAGAGCACTTGATAACCCGCCATATTTGGATATTACTTAATTAGATGTTAGCAAACAGCAATTTCATTTTTATAATTATTTTTTTGGATAACCGAAAACCCCCCCGTGAGCTAGCTGACCCAACACTAGTTTGCCCACAGGTTCGACACTCGGGAGTGTTGGCCTGCCCCTCCATCCCACTTCCACTTATATACCAGGTGTGTGTCAATAGCAGGGCAGACAACAATGTCTTATTGCAACATGAAATTAAAGAACAAATGAAAATTCAAAGGTAAAACATGATTATAATCTCTAAATGAGTTGATCAAAAGGGGACTGGACAGGTTAAAGGCCTGGTTGGAGATCTTTTCCCTTTATCATTGGGGTTTTAGGATTTTCACAAATGTTGAAGATTTTCGAATGTTTAAGATAGCTCTGTTTTTGAGTTCAAGAAGTTTAGTGTTTTAGGAAGCTAGGTGTATATCTATTTAGCCGCATTGAAGGTTCTCATTAGTTACAAATTACAATTGTGCCACTTGACTTTGCTTGGGAAATCTAGTCCCTGAAGTTTTGTATTTCAACAATTGAAAATCAGATTGTATACACTATGGTTGCTCAAATGAGTAGATAATGGCAATTTACCTTGTTCTGAGAAAACATCATACAGGTTCTCAAATTTATTGAAAAAGGCTGCAATAACATCTTCTCTCTTCAATTCGCGTGAGAGAGGATTCACTTTCTTTAAAACAGCATTCAAGCATGTAGTAGGCTTCTCATTCCCGACATTCAATCCAACTCCTGTGAAATAATTATCAATACCCAAGCACTCCATGTAATTTCTCCAAATTGATAGACTGAGAGGAGATAGAAATAACTACAGATATTCATCACTCTACTTAGAATGATCCTGAAGGGGGAGTAAGAAAGTTAGCTATGTTAAAAAAGACTGCAAGTGTAAGAAAGATTGCTGACTAACCAAATTCATTAAGTTTGCAACATCTGAAAACCCGCCAAGTTTGTACTTAGCATGAAAACTTCTATAAATCGAAGGAAAAAATCCATTTCCGGTATGAGGAAGAATATATAGTGAACATCATTGAATGAGTGAAACATTTTTTTTTTTTGTTGGATAAGTTGACAAGTGAGACAGTTTACCAGCACTAACATAGAACTTCTTCGACCTATATACCGATGTGCTAAGAATGCCACCCACTTTAACGTCACCTAAATACAGATCATTTGGCCACTTTATTCGAACATCAAGCTCTGGGGTTCCCTGTGGCACATTATGTAGCCAAGAACAACAAGGAAAAGAGGTAAGCATATCAACAGACGTTCTATGTAAAATAAACTACTACATGTAACGCTTAGCTTCTATGCAGCACACAGCTAGTTTCTACAAATTCTGTCCTACCACTCCTCTTTTTTCCATCTGTGTCCAGTTAGCATTGTTCAAATACACTACATATATGTGCATAAGTGAACCATTCTATTAGCCAAGTACCATAAAATTCAGGAAACACTCTCTTTTCACGAATACAGCACAAATACATGAAGAGATAAACCGTTCGTCATTTAGGCATTTGTAGACGAAAATAAAGTAATTAATAGAAAAGACTGATAGAGAATCTTGTAACTCAAGAAGAACCAACAAACTACATCAATGCTCCAGATCATAGACAGTTGAATTAACTGAGTTTATCTGAAATTAGATTTAAGTGCATCCTACATTGACTTATTCAAAGGGCCCTGATATTTATCCAAATTTTCCTTTTACAATCATCTCTAGTCCCAAATACCTCCTAACTCGAGTAACATTCTTTAGGAAACATGATATCCTCTTTAGCAGACCAATCAGCACTAACAAATAATAGTCCACAAGACTGTATACAATTCTTCACAGACCATCCATCAATAACTGCTTAAATTTCACAGTGCACGACTAAATGGCAAAACTATATAAAATATATGTGCAAAACTATAATGTTTCAATTGATACAACCAGATAGAGTATATAAAACTTACAAAGACATGTGAGAAAACTTCAGTTCATTGTTTATGCAATGTGGACATAAAATCACACTTATCTCCTTCTTACTTTTCCCATACATTACTTTACCATTCCAATTTCAATTTCAGGATGCCGGTACACATATTTGTATTATAAGTACTTACCTTTTCCAAACAGACAGCCTTAATGGCCTCTGTCATGGCAAGACAGACGACATACTGTAAATGTGGCACCACTCTACCGTCCTCCATTTGTATTGAAAAAGAAAACAGAAGGCAACCCTTTGGTGATTCCCACACATTACTCGAACGGCCTTCAGATGTAAAATAAACACATAAGTAAATCAAAGTAAAATATAAATAATTTGGGCAAACGTGATAAGAGCAAAAAATCTCCAATACATTAAACAGAGCAACTACAATTTTTTATTCCTAGTTTATGACAGTGATGCATTTTTGTTACAGTTTTTCAATTGCACAAATAATACCCTAACTTTGAAACAACGATAAAGAACAGGACTTTCTCTAACTTCTGTTCATTGTTAATGGAAAAGGTCACACACAAAACTACACATATTTACGCTTTTTAAAGGTCCAAACAGCCGTACTCAATATTTCATAGTTTGTGGAGGGAGAGAAACCTACCATTTGGTGCCAAAATCCACCTCTAATCTCCTTATACAGTATTCAGTCTTCTTAACATAGCTATGGAAGATGCGCCCAAGAGTGTGGTCTAGTGGTCAATGAAGTAGGCTGAGAATCGCAAGGTCTCAGGATTTGAACACTAGGTGATTTCTTCCCATCCGTCCAAGCCTTGGTTGGACAGAGTTACCCGGTAGCTATGCTGGTGAGATAGCACGTACCTCACAGAAGAGTCGAGGTGCGCGCAAGCTGGCTAGCACAACACGATTATAAAGAAAAACGTAGCTGTGAAAGTTGATCGTTTTATATGTCATCGAGAACAGTCCAGCTCTATAATTATTTCTTATTGTTGCACAAAATGGAATACCAGCATGTGCTAATTAGCACTTAATTGGATTGTAACACAGACATAAACTTTTTTACTGGAACAAAACCGTCCTCCATTTGAATGTGTGCAACTCAAATCAAAACAAAAAATTGGACCCTAGAAAGTTAAAAATGCACAAATGCAATAATCTTAAAAAAAAAGAAAAAAAAAGGTCCGTGTACCTCTCCCTTTCAGTTGAACATCAGCAACACACACTGTACCAACTGGCAAGTCAGAGTTATTTCTGCCATATACAAATAATTAAACAAAGAGAACAAAAATTTAGTGTCAATAACCAATAAGCAAACAGGCATAACTTGTCATTAATGAGTTTTCACAATAACAAACAAATAACTATTAAGAGTTTTAAGTTTATATACAGCATCAGTCTAAAATAACATTTACACAAACATGTCAACCAAAAAAGGTAAGTCTCAGTATTGGATTTTGTAAAAGTTTCTTGTACTGTACATAACTTAAGTATAGCCGTATAGGGACTAGGTAATTTACTGTGAAATAACGTCATGAGTAGAGGACAATTTGGGAGAGTAAATGAGGAGTCTCCCAAAACGCCTAGTCGAAAGGGAGTTGAAGTATTCTTCAATTCGAAAAGCGTCGTCGTTTTCCAATTTCACCTCGGAATGCAAAACAAGCTCAACTCCTTCACCAGTTTTAAGGGTATTGTTATTCTTGAGTACCTTTGCCACGTCATTCTCCTCCTCGGATTTCCCAGATAGTAAAAGAAGCGTGTCCGCAGGTGCAGGTGATTCCATTTTTCTTCCGAGGACGTTTGATGATGAGAAAGCTTTGAGATGCTTTGATTTTGAAGTGAAAATAAATTTGGGAAATTTTTGTGTAGAGGCGCTGAAAAAGATACCTTTGAATTGAGAAATCATCAGACGGAGAAATTAAGGACCTGTGTTTTGTTATATTGTCAACAACAAGTACAAATATATTGATGTCAATGTTCAATTTTTAACGGCATCGAATGAAACTAAATTAAAAATAGGACTAATGGAGTATACAATTGTATCCAAACAGTTGCATAGGTGTGTGTATTCATGTGATGTGAAATGTGTCTCCATGAAGATTAATTGATGTGGAAATCTTTTATTTTTGGATACTAAATTTATACTTATATCATTTTCAGTGTTCTATTAGGTATTTTTTGTACTAATAATTGAGTGTAAGCATGGAACATGAAAGTGGTATTTCACAAATAATCGTGAGTATTAAAGTTGACATTAAATTGTGTTTGCTTTGGCGTAGTTTTTATAATAGTATTAGACCCATGTTTTCTATTTGAATTACAGCCATGCTTCAGTTTGTTCAAATGTATTACCTAATTGCAAAGAAAAAAACCAGTTTGTTACAATTTTAAAAAAAAAAAAGTGAATACAAATTTTTACAACAAATATTTTAAAATTTTCAAAAAAGAAAATTTAACAAACACCACTAGTGTTGGTACGTAATTAAAAAAAATCATAGTTTGAATGAAACTACTAGGATAAGATTATGTCTTAGTAAGTATCACCACAAGTGTTGCTACAAGTTGGCATTGCGTATCCAAATTTTGGTACAAAAAAATATAAAGATCTCATGCGTTTTATTTATAGCTCTCTTATGTTACTTTTTTACTGACTAAATAATATGAATGCACCAAAATTAAGTGATGCTAATAAGGTGATATCATAATGTGAATCAATGTTTGAACACGTCCACCTTACAACTTGTTTGGACGCTTGTTATGTATTTTTTCATAATGTATCGTATAATATTGTATTGTTCTGTATCGTTTTGATGTATATAATGTTTGGATAGATTGTATTGTTTGTCGTTGTTTTATGATATTATGCACCAACAATATGAATAATAAACTTGTAATGTTACAAAGAAAAAGTAAGGTACGAGGTAATATTATTATATAAAAAAGTAGGGTAAAGAATAAAATAGGATTATTTAATAATAAAAAAGAGCAAGATGAGAAAAATAAAATAAAAAAACGACGTGATCACACCAAATCGGTCGTTTCATAAAGTGCACTTTTCGTCGTTACGTAACGACAAATTTAAACGATACGATACAATAAAATTTAAGTAACCACCAAAACAAACATTGTATTTAAAGTAACAATACGATACAATACAACATGTAACAACCATCCAAACAAGTTGTTAGTTAAGATTATCTAAGTTTCGATTTCGGTAAATCCATCACAACTTTTATGAATTATCCAACCAAAATAGAAATCATGCGTTTACCCGTAAAATAGTACAGTTGAATTTGTAACGTAGTTTATAGACATGTGAATTAGTTTGATCCAAAAATATGAAAGAAATAAGAACATAAATAAGATTATAAAATAACTTTAAGGAAATACAAGCATGACTATGAGTTTAGCTTCTCCGATAGCAGTAACAAGAGCAATATTAAGAATAAAATAAAGAGAGCAATTTGATAGAATAAGAACTGATTTATCTTTTGAATACAGAATATTTCGTGCCCTACAATGAATACTAATTCTCATATTTATAGCTCTATTTAGGGAGACAAGATCCCCAAATCAAGCTCCTCCTAAATGAGAATAAAACCGCCAATGATGGCTGCATAACTGTTATTAATACATAGATTCTTTATAACGACTACTCATTGAATGATGTCTTTCCCAACCGATATCTTCCTTTCAAATCTTTGTTATCGGTTCTCATGTGTTCGGAATTTACACAGTACCAAACTCATGTTTGTATCCGATGTCAACTATTCGCTGACTCATATATTATCTGTCTCCATTTACATGTGTCACCTCGTCATTCATCCACTTGTCGCTAACTAATTTTACCTCATTGAGATAATTCCCTACTTTTTCGGTGACAATACTTTAGTGTTACCGGAAAGTAGATGAAACTTCTTTCCTTAGCGGGTAAGTTTCTGGATAGTTTCTGACACTTGAAAGGACGCATATCTCTTCGCATTTAATGACCCGAACACGTATTACCCCGTGATTTGGAAAATATTTTCGCCAGTTTTTAAGGTAATCATGACCATGAATTATGCCGCTTATAAACTTCTCCTCTACTCATCACTTTTACAAACTCTTCTTCTTTTTAGAATCTCCTTAGAACCCTACTGCAAATTCTCATTCTTCTCGGTAAAATTTTTTTACCCATATTTCCTAGCATCATGTCTTCTGTTACTTCAACCCTCAGAAACTCCGACCTTCTCTTCGGTGGTGGCCCTAAGAAGAACAAAAAAAAAGAAGTCGATGCCAACTCTGAACCTCCTACAGTTAGCACCATCATACCCCTTCAACTTAACACCTAGTCAGACCTTCATGTCCAAAAAGAACCTGTTAATCCCAAACGCGACAGACACTGGTATGTTCGCAGGTATCCTTCTTCCATTCGTCTTTCTAGCATTTCCGTCGTGAAGAAAGATTGTGAATGGAATAACATCAAAATCTTCGCCCCCAATGAGGTGGAAAGGGTTACCTTCACCAAATCAGGGTTTATGTATATTTATACATACCCTTTTACTTTGAGATTGGATCGTGAAATTGACCCCATAATTTTAGAATTCTGTCATCGTTACTAAATATGATTGGCTCAAGTAGGCCCATCAGTATGGCATATAGTGGCTTGTCTTCTAAAGTTGTGCTTCGAGATCGGGGAAAGCCTAACTCTCGCTCATGTGATCAACCTCTATTCTCCAAAGATCTTCTATGGAGGCGTGCTAAAACTCAACAAACGAGGCCACTATGCCATCCTTACCAGCATTGATGACAATAATGACCGTGGATGGATGAAACAGTTCGTTGTTATTTATACTGGGGACATTTTCCTGACAACATCTACTCCCATTCCTGAAGCTTGGAATCTTATTCGTGAGTCTTCAGATATATTTCCCTTACCTTGTTTAAAAAGGCTTTCCTCATTTGTTGACATTTCTTTTTATTCCGGCTACTTATTGGGAATCACCACAGGTTAAGAACCTGGCCCAATGGGTATAAAATATTCTAGACATTTGTACACAGGACTCTTGAAGGTGGAAAAAAATGGCTCCTAGATTTAATTGGAAAGCTAAAAACCATGGTAAGTAAAGGCTCTTCCTTCCTTATTTCACTTTTTAGCATGACTCAAAATCAATTTGTTGTCTCTCTTTTTGCTACACACAGGTCTTCCGAAGGGATCTGTTGTTTGCCCTGTTGTTGAGGTTTTCGATGACCCAGAGAAAGCCCAACGACCATTACAAGATCTCCGGCACGTGAAGTCGCTCTTACTTCAGGTGAAGGCACTTCCTCCCGGAGTCCCCACCCCAAGGACAAGAAATCAAAGAGAAAACGTACCTCCACGGCTGGGACTCGAGAGAAGACTTCAGGCAAAGAAGCTCCAATAAGACCAGTCTCAGTGGTCCTTGATAATGAAGGAACTGATGATGAAGCAACTCCTCTCCAAAGAAGAAAAAGAATTTCATCAGCTCAACCGGATGCTCAGCCGGGTGAGCTTCAAACTCTATGACCGGACGAAGTTAAAGGATTCTTCACGGAAATGGGATTGGCCGAAAATGCTGCATCTCGTTTTTGAATCCCCATTGTTGCTTCTGGTTATAGGAGTTCAACCCCTGACATTCCTCCACCATCAACATCTACACCAGCTGCAACCGCAACTCCTTATACACCAGTTGCATCCTCAACTCCTTCTACACCAGTTGGTGCCTCTCCACCGGACCCATCCGGACAGATAGAAGTCGTTCTTTCCCCATGGTTATCCTACCAAGGAATTTTGGGGAACACTTACCTTGCACCCACTCAAAACCCTAATGGAAAATTGAGTGTCATTCTCACAGTTTCGAAATAATGCCACATACTTTCCAAGCCGATAGAGGTTTTCAACTACCTGAAGCCGCTGGCAACGGAAAAATATTGGAAAAAAATGGACTCTCTTTCTGCTGAGTGTATGATAAACAACAACATGCACTGTTGGGCTCAGGTATCAATCTAACCCTTTTCTCTTCCCTTTTTATTTGTTAGACTTTGCCTTAATAACCTTAGATTTAACCTTTTTAGGCTAACCTCCTTGCTCCGAGGGCCTGCAAAAGTTGATTTTGGATAAATAAGAACTTACTACGGAACGAAATCAACTTTTAACCGAACGGAAACAGCTTGTCGAGCGCCTCCTGGTGTTGGAACAAAAATTGCTCAAATGGGCGAGCTCGAAACTCGATTATAGCAATCCGAGCAAGATAGAATTTCCCACAACTAAGAAATCGCTCAATTACATGAAGATCTTAAGGAGGCAAAGGCCAAGTGGGCTAAACTGCATGTCGTCGTCACTACTGCGACTGAGTGTGTGTCTGCTTTTATGGAACAAATCAACAACTTGGAAGCATACTTATGCTTGAAAACCGAAGAGGCTATTGCCGCCTAGGATAAGAGAGACAAAATGAAAGAAAGGCTCAAAAAGGTCATGGAGTAGAACCAGCTTCATGCGACAACCAATACTGAACTTGATTCCAAGATCAACATCGTAAAAGTTGAAAATGATAAACTTCAATCCAAAATTGAGAAACTCCGAGCTAAACTCCAAGATCAAGAAGATTCTTTCCTCCTTGAGAAAACTCATGCAATTTATCACATGAGGAGGAAAATTTTAGAGGAGGCAAAGGAGGGCATTGCATTGCCAAAGCTCGCAGATTGGAGACAACTGCTCTAGAGAACATCCCTGCTTGGCCTGTTGTTTAAGATTCTTCGAACACTAGCTCCACGTATTCAGGAACCGAAGAGGAAGCTGAAGAAGAAGAAGTACATAAGGATGAAGGGCTTGAACTGGATGCAGAACAACCTTCCCCTGAAAAGGAAACTGAAGACTCTTCTCTCCCCTCGAACTATGACAGTAGAAATAATTGATGTATTTTACTTTTCCTTTGTAATTATGCCTAAACTTCTTTATAAAGCTTGGCATTTCATGTAATGAAAGAAATC